GCTCCCTCGCTCGGCCTCCGCCCCCCCTGGTGCCAGCGTCCCGGGCAGGGGCAGCGGGGAGGCCGGTGTGAAAGCTGCCCCTCGCGGTGTTTGGTTTGTATGGAGCGGTTGTATGCTGGCTGGGGGAATAAAGAGGGGTTTGGGGTTGTGTTGCCCCCAATTACCAAACTTCCTTTTGGGTGGCTCTGCCCCCCGCCCCCGTCTCCCCCCGGGACCGGGAAGGGTCATGGGCTGTAAAAGGGGGAGATGTTAAAATTTACCGAAAATCCTTCTGTTGCAGAAAACTGGGTTTCTGGTGATGGGGAGGGAGTCCCCGAGGGAATAGAAAAACAAGGCTTTGTGCCCTCGTTTAATAGCTGTCTTTGAAACCCATGGCCTTGGATGGTTAATTGCACCATTATTTCCAAGTGTTGACTGCCGTCTAGGCGTTAAAATGCTCTTTTTGCAGTTACCGGTATGTTGATCGAACAAAGATGACACAGTTCAGCATTTCCACGTACAACCCCAGAACATTAAAACGTTAGAATTGATAGCTCTTGAAGAGGCAACAGCAATATTAAAACGTCTTTGCTTCTTCAGATCTCTCTGACAAAGGGTTTGGGAACTGTCTCTTATCTTTCTTGCACCATTTTCTTATCTAGGTCTGTTTTCTGTTTACAAGTCTGAAGATGGCTGCTGCCTCTTCCTGCAGTGTGGAAGAAGATGAGAGCCTGAAGGGATGTGAACTCTACGTTCAGAAGCACAACATCCAACAGATTTTAAAAGAGTGTATTGTAAACCTTTGCATAGCAAAGCCAGACCGACCCATGAAGTTCCTCAGAGAACACTTTGAAAAATTAGAAAAGGTCAGTGATTTTTCAGGTGACATATAATTTTTGATTTTTAAACTGAAAAAGATTGTTTAAAAAGTTTCAAGTATTTTGGTATATTTTTCCTTTTAAATTTTAAGTTATCAGGCTACTGTTAAAAACCAGGCTGTTAGAAGCAAAAGCCCAGCCCTTTATTTGCTGATGTCTACTATAATATTGGCTGTTGTATAGAATTTTTGTGCATAACACCAAGATTATAATTCTTATAAAACTGTGCTTGTTAAAAATGACCCAAAGAGTTACAAGCATACTTTGTGTTAGATACATAGCGTCCTGTCTTCTGTGGGAAGAACCTGCCTGTAAGAGCAAAAGATGGTGTTCCCCCTTTATTCCAGTGTCAGCTGATGTGCTTTTCCCTTCCCTTAAAACTGAACAAGATCAGGGAACCATCAAGTTCTGAAAATCATCAAACAGTTTGCCATTTAATTTTACTGCTCTTGCCCTCCTGTATTGCTTATCCCAGGATCCTCCAACAAGAGATGCATTCAGAGAGACTTCGTATACTGTCACTGTCTTCAAAAGCAGCATAGGGGGGGAAACATTTTAAAACACTCTTGGATAAATTCTCACTAAAGCCTATGGGTGTCTTTTACAGGAAGAGCTGCTTGTGTGAGCACAACTGTTCTGTGGGGATGGGATTCCTCCAGAAATAAATGGGAGAACAGGACTGCAAGTTGTTGGTTATAAAGTCCTCAGTCTGCCACTTTATTAATATGCTTAGTTTAAGAAGAGGATTATTCACTTTTTTTGAAGGAAATGTCTGAAGTTTGTAGACTTAAGATATGAGTTTTATGTAGTTTTTTTCCTTCTAGAGAAAGAATTTAGTAAGGACACAGCAAGAACAATAATAACTTGTGAATAATACATAGAGCTGATATTTTACAGGTGATATAAGCATTTTATACATCTCTGTCCACTTTTCAGATTAATTTTTGTATAGGTGAGTATATGCTGAATTTGTGTGGCTTTAAAAAAATGCAAACATTGCATTTTGGTGGAAGCCCAGTAAGAATGCCTGGAACATCAGGGAGGGGTAGGAAGTACAAGATTTTTTTAATTGTAATGCTTATTATTAAAAATGAAATCTCTTACTTCTGCGTATTCTAAACTTCTGAGAGCCACAACCCATTTCAAGAGAGTGAATACTGTTGAATTTCCTTAATCACTTTATGAATTGTTATGCATCTTAATGTGCAATCCTGGACTTCCTGGCCAGAAGGATAAACACCATTTTTGAAAAAAAAGTTATTATATGCTGCAGTATTTTATAATATTCTCCATAGCTAGTGGTTTTACTTGAGGAGTTGTACTGGGGGAGTTTGGCTTTATTGATCTAAACACAGTACACAGAATTAAGACTGGAAGGCAGTTCCTACCCTTGAGAAATTCTTTCATATGATCTCCTATTATTTCCCAAAGAACAGCAGATACCAGAATTGTGTAGCAGCATATCGATCAGGATGCAAACACAGAAGCTGAGGGATATCACTTTTCACAAAACGAAAGGAAATGGTTTAGAAACAACCAGTCTCAAGGTATCAAATTCAGTGAATATCACGCTTACTGCGGAAGAAGGCAATCTTGCCACTGACTCTGTAGAGCAGTCTGGGAGCTAAGCCTGCTGAGTCTAAAGGCTTTAGGGTGCTTCTGGAGGTTTACAGCACTGTAATTTTTGTTGCTATGGCAGTTTGACTTTCTTGTCCAGCCACCTCTGTGGACTTTCTTGAGAAGAATTGCACTGTGGAGGATTTTCTGCTGTAGGATAGTATTTTGACTTGATCGGTTGCGTAGTAACAGTTGAAGGAAGGTTTGTAACGATAGAGAAATAATTTCAATAAGTTTTAGCCTGTTTTTAGAAGACACTTGACATGTATAGGTACTTTGAAAGATCTTAATGGCATTGTGAGTTTAGCAATTGCCTGTTAGATTTCTATATGTGAATGAGTAATACACTGATATGTCACGTTTGCTATTAACTCCTTTAATTTTGTTTCTGTGTAGGGAGAGGAGTGAAAATCTTTGTGTTCGAGCACGATTTTCTAAACAAATTATTGCGTTTTTCCACCAAAGTGTGCTATTTTGGGGTTATTTTCCAAACCCGTTAAAATAGACAACACGTTCCACTGAAGAGAGCAGTAGAATAACAGTTTATCTGTCAAAAAAATCATGCCTGCAGTTTAGAAATGAAGCATGGGATGTTTTTCAAGTGGTTAAAAAAGGAGCTTATGGAAAACGTGTGGACTTGATCCACATCAATGTACTGGAGCTACCTCAGAGGTGAATACAAAAAGAAGTTTATTTCATTTTGCTAATTCTCAACTACATCTCATAAAATCAACTCATAAAAGCAAGATTTATTGTCATGTCCAAGATCAGAGCAGATCATAAATGCTTTTCATCTTCCTTCTAATGACGTCAGAGTTAGGTGCATTGCCTTCAGCCTTCATCTTCACTGCTAAATGGAGAAGGACCAATGACTAACCCCTGACCCTGCAACACTAACTGGCCCCAAATATAATTCTGAGGTCTAACACATCTAGGAGCAGGTTTGTTTTGACAGGAGTGAGTTCAAGCAGCTCAGAACGGAGCTAGGGAATGAGCCAGTACCTGAGGGATGTGGGCTGTCTTGGGTTAGTATTGAGGTCCATGGCTGGGCCATTTTTTATTTCACAGTGTAGACATGGCCTGAGAGGGCTGTGAAGTGAGAACATGAATAAATGCAAGTAAAGTGCTGGAGACTGAGGTTTGATGTTTGGTTCTGCAGTTGTCATTTTCATCTGGAGAAGTGCCAAGGTTGGAAAGAAATGCCTGATGCCTTTTTAAGTTTGCAGCTCATTTGTATCAAGTACAGTGTTAAAAAACATAGCTCTGAAAATAATTGTAGGAGAACTTGAATAGATATTTTTCTGTTCACTTAATAGTGGCAGGATCTGCTTGTCTGCAGGTGCCAGTAATTGCTGGGAATCAGCCTAAGTTTCTATATTCTGCAGTTTGCAGGTCAGTTTTTATATGCTGTGACCTACAGACTTCAAGATTACATCATGTTAACAGTTGCTTTGTAAAAATTGCTGACATTCCATTGAGCACAGAAAAGAGTTGAAAATGGTTTAGATACCTGAGATTTTAAAAAAATATGTTTTCATTTGAATAACTTGTTTTACATTTCCCTGTGCCTGTATAGAACTTCTTGTTGGTGGATGGGGTGAGGAAAAACTTTCCCTTGGGAGTATTAATTGGCTTTTTTAGAGCGGGGGAATAGGTATTAGCTAAGAAACCATGGCATTATTTTAACAGTTGTAATTAGGTCCTGTTTACTTGAGGACTGAAGAAGGCATAGCAGAAAAAACAGGGAACCTGTCTTTATCTCCGGTTTTTACCTTATGTAAAAAAGTTAATTACTAAGAAGTTACAGGCAAAGCCTTGTATTTTCAGCTGTACTGAGACTGCAAAACTTTCATTAGTGTCACGCTGTTTAGGGCTGTGATTATATGATCAAAGGTGGAGTTGTCTTGCCAGGCTAAGCTAGACTTTTGTTCAGCATAAAAAAAAATACGATAAAGAATAGAACTAATGAAGAAGATGGCACAAAAGAAGGGGAAGCAGCAGGAACCTGCAGGATATGTTTAGGCATTACCAAGTACTTTGCTGAAGCCATTTTGCATGCAGTGTATTTCAGAGCAGGGGTTTGCTGTCTGAGCCAGGTAATCTTTGCTGATACCTTCTAGACCTGAGCTCTCTCGTGGTCCCTTCTATTGCCCTGTGCACATGAAAGAAATACTGTCTTGCACATCCTGAACTTACCGTCTTGGATTGCTGTTGATTTGCAGTGGTTTTATGGACCCAGGCCGATGCTGCATGTCTTAAGGTACCATCCAAAAAGAGAGTTTTAGAAAAACTTTATTGTCAGTAATTAAATAAAACGAGATTATCTGTGTAGCTCCACCTGGTGATATCGGACAGTATTGCACACAGACCTGGTCAGAAAAATAAAGGCATTTGTGTGACTGGTTTGCTGTAAACTAGCACTGAAAAGAAAGTGTGAAGTAAACTACAAATTCATTCACTGTTAGTAAAATACAGTTTATTTATTTATGATAAAGAGTTTCAGAACCAAGGGTGTTTGAGCATCAGGCTTTTCTTCTGCAACAGTAGTCTCTCCCAGTGTTTACATTTTGTCACAACAAGAAATTTTTCAATCAGTAATTTCCACCAGAACTTGGCCAAAACAGTACAATTAATTCTCCTAAGTACAAGCAATTATGCTAAGTGTAACTCATTCCTTTAATATAAGCTGGGGGGAGCTTATGGATTGGAAGGAAAACCCTACAGAGGAAAAGCGAAAAAATGCATTAACTCAGCAGTTTGATAAGGACTAATAAGACAAATATTTCTGTATCTTTCAAAGCTTGCAGAGCAGTTGGGTGGTGTCTGCTTGGTGGTCAGAGATGTTGCTAAAGCATGTGGGAACATGCCGGAGCTCATTGAGATGCTGATAGCAACTCAGTGGTGGGAGCACCAGGTGCTCTTGCTGAGTGACTGCGGTTCTGAGTAGGCTTGGGCAGCCTCTGCTCCTGCCAGTCCTCTGGTATCAGAACTGCCGAAGAGAGCTGGATGCAGATCAGCTCAGGTCAAACCTCTGTGGTTGCTGTAGTCAGCCATAGGCAGTGTTATGAGAGTTTTTTTGGAACAGGTAAAGGAAGAACTGGGTGAATTTTTAAGACCTCTCAGGCAATCTTTCTTAAATGCAGGAGGTTTTGGAAAGGTGGAGGCTGAAAGGGATAAGGGCAGAAAGAGAAAAAAAGTTTTTTCCTAGTAAATAAAATTGGCTATAAGTGGAGCTGTGCTCTTACGAACTTGTGCAGAGCGTCACTGAGCTCCCTGTTTACTTTGTGTGCCTACAAGTGTGAGTGGCTTTCCCGGTCTCAAAGTCAAATAGTTACAAAAATGGAGCGTGGTGATGGGACGAGAAGGGAAGC